GAACAAGATGAAAATACTAAACAATTAATGATTGAAATTTCTACTACAACAACAAAATCACGAATTGAAGAAATTTTTAATATTCTTAAAACAATTGATAATGAAAATCTTAATGGTAAGTTATTAAATTAAATATAAATTATTTTAATAAAAATATTATTAATAAATATGTATTATTAAATTTAATAATTTAGGATGGGTTAAATTTTATTCAACCAAATGGGTTATTGCATCTTTAAACCCTACATTTTCAAATATTCCAATTGATATTTGGTATTCTACTCGGCATAATACAAATGTAGCTGAAAGTAGTCATGCAAGAGCAAATCAATATGGAACAAATTTATGTCTTCGCGTAGCAATTCAAAAGTATAATTTATTTATTTATTTATTATACTGTATATTATATACTGTAAATTAATTTTATTTATATTTTTTAGAGGCTATTTAGAAGATAGAAGAACTTTTCATTTACAAGAAATACATGATAGCTCAGGTGTTCCACACTCTAACCGTGATCATGGAATTGTTTCACGAACAATTCATTCTGTAAAAAGAAAAAGTAAGTAGCATATACTACATATACTGTATTATATAAATTTAATATAATTTAACATATTAAAACATATTTAATTATTTAATAATCTTTTAGCAAATAGAAAGCGTTAATAAAACTAATCAACAAACAACTAATAAAAAAACCAAATCTCATGAGAAACAACCAGATACGACTTTAGATGAAACTGAAAGAAAATTAGTATTACGAGAAAAAGAAATTGCTTTAGAGGAGCGTGAAGCTGAATTGGAATTAAAAAAATTAAATATTGCGAAAATGAAAAAGGAACTTAATTTAATAAAAAACTTTATTATATATATACTTAATAATATTAGCATTTATATTCTTTAAACAAATATGCTTTATTTTGCTTAGCTGAGAAATTATCTACATGTATTGTTAAGTATATTTATTCAAATATTTATACTATTTCGCTAAAATAATTGTTCAAAAAGTATTCACACGAATATATATTTATTATACTATTTATTAGTACTTAATAGTATTTTACAATCATAAATAATTACTGTAAAGTATGCATTTTATTTTAATTATTACTGTAAAACATTATCCGGGCCTCGAAGTATACTTTATATACTCTAAAGTACCTATAAAGTACTTAGCAAATAATGGCATGACATTACTCAGATAAATTATGGTACTGATACTCTGTACTGACTAACCGTTATATCAGATATGTTTTATTAATGTCTGGAGTACTCCATTAACAACTCTACTTATAAAATTTCATACCCAAGTAAGTAAAAAATTCTTAGATAGAACTTTCTGTTAATCGCTTAATGCATATTTACAAAAAACTTTTATTATTAGTAGCAAGAAGGTTCTGCTAACCAACCCGGTATATTAAAACTTTTAAATAATATAATATATAACTACTGAACCAAATTCAATAAACATTTTTATTTTAATTCTACAATACATTAGAAAAAAACTTCGATTTCGTGTAACAATAATCACAAAATTTGTGGGTGCTCCAGGTGAAGTCAATTTTATTAGCTTTTGGTGATAAACTTTAAATGCGAGAATTAAGCGAATCTCATAATTGTTAAATTGAATATAATATAATGTTTTACTGTTTTGTCTGTTTTTAATGATATGCATTTACAATTTTATATAGAAATTAAATTTCCATATCTAACGCTAAGTGTCCGTCATAATTTTTGAATATTCGCTTTTAATAAAATCAAGCAATTGAACACTTAAGTTTCATTTGAATCGTCCTAATGAGACGATTCAATAATATTAAAATCTTAAGTTTTCATTTACCTGATTTTGACGAATATTTAAAAATCATGATTTGTAGGTTTTCCTTTGGCATCACTCATGTAATACTAAATAAAGCCATTTTTACAAAAAATTTTAAAGTTATTCAATCCTGGATAAAACACAAAATCGCCCCCGACTAACTAAACGGTCAGAATCACTGAAAAACTTTTTTATTGAATAATTAATACGTAACACCCAGTGTTGGTCATCTAGTAATTTGAATTAGAGTTGGACATATACGTTCCAATTGGAATCTGTAAGTCCAATGTTCCAGTTTATAAGTCCAGTGGAACCAGTTGCCCAACACCGGTAACACTCCATATAATAACCCAATTAGAAAATCAGTTAACGTTAAGCGATAATAAATTTTATCGATCAAGAATCCAAAAACGTACAACACTAAGTGTGTAACATATCGTGTATCACCAATTAAAACAAATTTCGAGTAAAAAAATATACAAGTAATACTTTTAAGTATATAGCTTCGTACTTAAGTCTTAAAATACGTATTTATAAAATGATATACAAAGCCGTTATTCTTGTCGGTGGACCTTCTCGTGGTACGCGTTTTCGGCCACTTTCTTTGAATGTACCGAAGCCATTATTTCCAATTGCCGGTCATCCAATCATTTGGCACCACTTGGATGCTTTATCTAAGGTTGAAGGTTTGAAGGAAGTACTATTAATTGGATTTTATGAAGATGCAGTTTTTCAAAGGTTTATAGACGATGCAGCTAGGGATTTCCCTCAGATTTATGTTCGGTATGTTCTATTGGAATGCAATATTTTAAATATTAAAATTTATCTACTTGTAAGCCTAAGTTTATTTTTTGGTCGTTTTATGTAGTTATTTACGCGAATATCAGTCTTTGGGAACAGCTGGAGGTCTATATCATTTTCGGGATGAAATTCAAAGAAATGACCCGCGGCAAATATTCGTTCTTAATGCTGATGTAGCGTGTAGTTTCCCATTAAACGACATGATTAAATTTCATAACACACATAGAGGATTATGTACAATATTAGGGACAAAGGTAGAGTTTTGATTATTAAAATCTTGTAATTATTTTGCAATTGTATTAATTTAATTGATTTAGGTTGCTCGTGAAGTTGCTAATAGATTTGGGTGTTTAGTTGAGAGACCAGAAAATCATGAAGTGTTGCATTATGTAGAAAAACCTGAAAGTTTTATATCAAACTTGATTAGTTGTGGTATTTATTTGTTCGATTGTGCTATTTTTGGTGAAATGAAAAAAGCAATGCAAAATAAGGCCAATCGAGTCGAGTATCCTTTATTTTTTTTTTTTCAAGCACACGAAATATAAAGAATATTTGAATTTCATCCTTAATAAAATTTTTAATTTTGGTCAATTAATAGCCAAGATCAATTTCAGGTACAAGATGAAAAGCTTCGTTTGGAACAGGATATACTCCGACCTTTAGCAGAATCAAGCAAATTATTTGTATTTGAAACGACTGATACGACTGATACTTGGATTCAAATTAAAACTCCAAGGTATTCAGAGTTGTCTAAATAGTTCTTATTTAAATTTCATATTTAAAAGTCATTTTATACTAATTATGTTATGATTTTTTTTTTATATAGTTCAGCTGTTCCTGCAAATGCATTATACCTTGAACAGTATCAAAAAACTAATCCAGATCGATTATTAAAAAATGTGCCGGGTGGCCCTACGGTAGTTGGGCTTGTCTATAAACATCCCACAGCAACTATTGATCCTAGTGCTAAGGTTTGTGAAATGATTTGTAGGTCACATTTTTAAGTATTATTTTAATTAAAGAGATTTATTTATTAGATTGGACCAAATGTAACTATTGGACATCGTGCTGTAATTGGAAAGGGTGTTCGCATCAAGGATTCTATTATCTTGGATAATGCAGAAATTAAAAACAATAGTTGTGTCTTGTACAGTATTATTGGGTGGGATTCAAAGATTGGAAACTGGTCTCGCGTTGAGGGCACACCAACAACGGATCATGCGACAACTGTCACACAGAACGGTATCAAAATCCAATCAATTTCTATTCTTGGTATGGATTCACAATTATTTTGACTGCGGTTTTTTTCTTAATAGTTTATTATATTATTAAATATACTAAATATTCTTTACGTACAGCCAAAGAAGTTACTGTTAAAGACGAAATTATTATCCGTAACTGTATTGTACTACCAAACAAGGAGTTAAAAACAAGTTGCCATAACGAAGTTTTAATGTAATAAATTTTGTTTGTTTTTTTGAATTGGTTAATAATAGGATCTTTATAGAATATTTGTATAATTATTTGATTTATATTTTTCTAATTGTTTCTAGTATTTTTTTTTTTTTAATTGATTTTGTGTGAACATGTTCTTATATAATAACAAAAGCTATTTAAATAATTTTGGTAAAATAATAAATTTAAGCTTTCTATTTGTTTTCTGTGTTTTAATAAAAATTTTTTTATTAAATTTCATTTAAATTAAAATAGTATTTTGTTATAATTTATTTTTATTTTAGAAAAAATTAATTAATACAGTACAAAGGAATATTATTTTATATTATTAAGGGTAAAGGATACTGTAGATCATTTTTCAACTTTTGATTAATTTTTGTTGAAATTTTATAATTTTGTAGATTAAAAATATGCTTTTCTAATGATATTATTTTAATAAAATATATTTGTATATATTATAAGTTTGCTGCAGTGACTTTAAATTTGCTGGGGTTACACGAAAAAAAATTTGCCATCAATCCTTAAGTAAATTTTATTCATTACTTTTAAAAAACATGCACTTTTTTTTCAATCTATGAATATTATAAAATTGATCTTTAATGGGAAACAATAAAACGTTTAATTTTGGAGTAATGACTAAACAAGTATTTGTTGGGATTGTTAACCAGTCTGCTCTTTCAAAAGTTAATGGTTCTAAAATAATAATAATAATATAATAAAAATTAAAATATAAATCTAATTGATTATAGTGTATTAGAACAATGTTTTGCATAGAATTTATATTAGTATAATACCTGATGCTACAAGAACAATATCTTCACGTTTATCAGCCTTCATCTATGTAAAATAATAAATTATATTTAAATAAGTTATATATGATAATATTACTACTAAAAAAACTAAAAAGATTATTTCTGGTGAATTACCATTCTGTAATGTCCAGGCTTATACTCTGTAAATGTTGTTCCTGATAAATAAATGGGTATCAATTATAAATATATATATACTATATAATGAAACTTAAAAATTAAAATATATTTATTAAAATATATACCAGAAGAAAAATATAAAGAAGCAGCTTCTTTAGTTCTACTATTAATATATCGGGTGCATACTACTGAATGGCCATCAGTTACGGCGAAATTTAATAAGGAAGGCTAAAATTATGTTTAATATGTTTATTATATTTAATTCGTGATTCGCCTAAGAACCAGTGACAAAACTTAGTAAAAGTGGTGAGATTTGCTATTGTCTTTGGAATCTGGAGTTTCTCAAAGAAAACCGGTTTTCTTTACTAAACGAACCTCTTTTCAACTTCTAAGTAAAGTTGTAGAGGAGTGTCTTGCGATCGGAATGGCGGTTAAAACGTTAAAATCGGTCCAGTGGATCGCGAGATATAAACATTTTAGTCTTCGCGACTATATGTTTTCTTCTTTATATTAGAAAGAAAACATATAGTCGCAAAGACTAAAATGCTTATATCGCGCGATCCACTGGACCGATTTTAGCGGTTTAACCGCCATTCTGGTCGCAAGACACTCCTCTACAACTTTACTTAGAAGTTGAAAAGAGGTTCGTTTAGTAAAGAAACCCGGTTTTCTTTGAGAAACTCCAGGTTCCAAAGACAATAGTAAATCTTACCACTTTTACTAAGTTTTGTCACTGGTACCACGAATTAAAAGAGACAAATAAATAAATCAAGTTGACATATAATAGTTACATTGCGGCATTAGACAAATTATTAAGATATATACCTCATTAATTCCAGCCTCTTCAGCCCAATTATTTAATAGTTCAATAGTTTTTAACATTGCAGTTTTTAAAGTTTCATGATCAAATTGACCATTAATTGGATCTTCAAGCTTAAATGAATTAATAAAATATTAAAAAATAAACAAGATATTAATATTAATTGAAAAAAAATTTATAAAATTTACTTGATTAAGAAACAAAGCAAAAGCCCATTCTGAATCAGTATTTCCTTGAACGAATAAAAATAATTCATCTCTTAAAGATTGTTGTAATTTTCTTTTAATCTACATAGCCAAAATTAAAAATTTATAAAATTTGAATACGTATAACTATTATGAAATGCAATATAAAATAAATAATATATAATAAGTTAATAAAATAAAACCTTATTAAAATTAGCAATATGTCCATTATGCATCCACATTAAACGGCCAAATCTCCATGGATGACCTAATATAATTATTTTAAATAATAAATTATATCTAAAAAAAAAAAATAACAAATTTAAAATAAGATTTACTAATACTATAATTAAACTTACAATTAGTTTCAGATAAAGCACCAGTTGTAGAAGCTCTAACATGAGCAAATACCAAAGAGCTTTGAATTTCTTCAGCAAGTCTTGATAAATTTTGATTATTCCAAGCAGGAGTAATTGAAGTAAATATACATGGTGTTGATGTCATATCAGGATTTGATTGGTACCACCCTAATATAAACAAATATTTGTAAGTATTAGGCTAAAATTTAATAATTGAAATAAAAAAAAAATACTAAGCAATATCTATATCTATATATTCTAATTATCTAATACTATATCTAAAATTATAATTTTTAATAAATAAAATTATCTTAACAACATTTATATTAAAGAATTTATTAAAAATTTTTATTTTTTAATTTTATAAATATATAGATTCAATTATTTGATATAAACCCAATTTTTTTTTTTACCAATTTGATTAATTTTGAATATATAGCTGTTAAGATTAGAGTTTGGAACCGGATTTATACTAATTAGTGGTTTTCTGCTTCGCTGTTTTCGAAATGGTTGAGAATAGCAATATTTTCAAAAAAAAATTTTTTTCTTGCGAATACCCGAACACTTGAATACCCGATTAGTTTAGAACATTGATCACATTGATCAAAGATCGATTTCAGCTATCTTTATTTACTGATAAATTAAGCGAGTAATTGTAATTACTATTTCGTAGTTGGAAATCGATCAATGTGATCAATGTTCTAAACTAATCGGGTATTCAAAAATTTTTTTTTGAAAATATCGCTATTCTCAACCATTTCGAAAACAGAGATAAATACGAATTACTTTATTGGTCAAATTCAAAAAATAACAATAGTAGCATCATTGTATGTATGTATTATACATACGTGACAAAACATTCGATCACTTAAGGATAAAAACATTCGATCACAAGGATAAAAACTATTTTATCATTATAGAAATTCTATAGGTGGTCAAATACTTTTAATCCATATGCGTTTGTACAGCCAATATGAGTATTGCAGATTCGGTAGATTCGATTTTATATCCAAATTTAAATCGAATCCGAAGGAAATCGGATTTAAATTCAAAGGTCGAATCCGGTTCCAAACTCTAGTTAAGCTGTATTAAAATGAATTGAACATATCGACATAGTATTGACTGTACGTCAAATATTATGTTCAATGTTTATGTCTAGTCCAATGACATAAAAATATTTCTAAGAACTGTAGTTTATATAATGAATTAATGAATGTAACAATATACCTACTCCAAATCCATCACCTATAATTAATAATATTTTATATATATTAACGTTAATATATATATACGTATATTGATATAAAAGACTAATACGTATAAATTATTTAAACATTTTAAATGCTATATATTACCATTAACTGGGAGTGTATCCAATCTCAATCTTGAATCAAATGATTGATTTATAATTGAATGGGCTGGACGTGTAATAAGCTGCATATACGTATTTAAAAATATTAATAAAATAAATAAATAAATAATATATATATATATCAGATATATATATATGTAAGTATAAATGAAACTTTATACTTATTCGTATCGATTAAGCAAAAATGAAATGTAAATAAAAAATTTTTTTTACGTGAGCAAGTTTAATCGAAGCTTTCCCTTTATACAATAAAAACCTGCACATTTTCTTAAAAAGAGAATGGGGGCTTGAAAGGCATAAAAAAAGAAAAAAAATTTAAAATAAATTTTATAATCGGTTATTGTTACGCAGATTACGTAGTAATTGATTGGTTCTCATAGTCGTACGATATAGAACGGATATGAGAGATGAGTTTCTTTTTTTAAGTAAGGATTTCAGCATAAAAATGTTTGTTTTATTGATGTTTTTTATGCGTGTTTTATCCGATAAGCTTTACATCTGACATTAAAAAAAAACTTGAGCGCTATGGCGTAAAAAGGATTCTCATCAAAAAGAGTAATAAACAAATTTTAATTTTTGATACTTATTGTGAAAAAAAATTTTAATATTGTTGATAAAGATATTGTTCTCTTACAGTCTTTATAAGCAGAGATTTTATTTAGTTAAATAATAGAAGGATGAAATTTATTGTTTATTTATATGGCATGCGGGTTATTTTTATGTGATAAATTTTTTACAACGATGAAATTGTAGAATATCACTTATATAGTTAGTTATAGTAAGTTTTAGTTAGTTATAAGAGATGTGATGAAAGAATTTATAACGATAACTGATAATAGATAATACTTACTCACGTACGTACGTGCGTACGTATCTTAATAAATAAAAAATAATAAAATAACAATAATAATAGCTATTATTATAATGAAAATGATTATTTTCTTTATTACCGAATAATGGACAACAAAAATAACACACAACATATAAGAGGGAGGTATAACCTTCATAAATTTGGACCGAATAATCAACCAATCCAGAAGAGTAATTAAAGTAAGACGATGCAAACAAAAATTATATAATTATCTTTTTTGTATACATGCAAGAAACCAAATCTTGTGTGGCATGAAAATCTGAAATCGGATTAATTAGGCAGTCAATTGAAACTTTTTTATGGCGCAAAATAATAGAATGGCAAAAAAAGTTCACTCTTATATACTCTATGATGTAAATGATATAAATGATATAAATGATATAAATGATGTAAATGATGTAAATGATGTAAATGATGTAAATGATGTAAATTTGAGGGATTAATTACTATATTTGGAAATCAATTACAATAAAGACCTTTGTGGACGAGAGAAAAAAGGTTGTGGGCAAACGATGTGTGGACGGCATATATTGATACATGCGTGCGGGAAATTAATCAATGATGATAGCATATATTTGATTGTTTCCTATAAAGATAAAGGATGACGATAATCACAAATGATAATTAATGACAGGTATTTGGAAGAAAAGGGGTGGATCAATTTAATTCAGCACAAAGCAAACTTTGCTGCACATATACAGCATATATAAATGAAATGTAAATACTAAAAAAAATAAAAAATAAAAAATAATAAATAATAAAATTAAAAATGAATAGAGTATAAATACAGTTATAAATAAATATTTAGATTTTACCGCGCCACTTTTAATAATCAAATGTTGATTAATTTACTGTTTGTTTTTTTTTTTTTTTTATTAACATGTGCCTCCTGCTGGATAGTTTACATTCTAAAAAAATGATCATGAGATGACAACATTTTTTGGTACTGGATGACAAATGAAGTTGGGATCATGCCACGATATCGGATTTTGTGTAGTACAGTCTTTATTGAAAAAAAGTGGGGTACGATTAAGTCATACACACTAGGCTGTCAAGTCTGGCTTGACGGTTATTTCGCAAGTATTTCCAAAAACGGTATCTTTGTATCTCGGCTATTAAAAATAATGATCATAGTTATGTAGTACCGATATGACTTTGTTATTGTGGTATACCAAAAAAGATGAATAAATCTACAGCGAAAAAAAAACAAACTTTTGAAGGGAATAAAACAAAAAGGTATTATATTATCTATATTTGTAATTCATTCACGGAATTTGTATATATTTTTTTTAGACAAAATGGAAAAATGGCGTATAAACGATTAATAAAGTATTAAGTCAGGATGTATATGCATGAACATGAGAATGAGTGAATATCAACGGCAATCTCACATCTACATACGTAGGTTAAAACGATAAAGAACTATCAGGAGTCTATAAATAAAGAAATTTATAAAGAACCTATAAGGAAGAATCTATAAAGAATATAATAAATGAACGAATCCAAAAAAGATAAAGCGAATGTTATTAACTTGGTCTCAAAATGAATAATTTTAATAATTTTATTAATAATTTTAATAATTTTGAAATACTTCTATACCCGATAACATATTTGCTGAAACCGAAATGAAACCGGAAATGAAGCCGAAGATAAAGCCGAAAATGAAGCCGAAAGTGAAGTCGAAGACATTAAATTTGAAAATCAAGTCGAAAATTAATTTTAATAATCACATAACGAGTTTTATAAAATTCGGTATCTAACCGGCTACAGATTCATTCTGAATTATTAATAAATAAACAAAAAAAAAAAAAACTTCAAAAAAAAAAACAAAAAAACAAAAAAGAGCCAAGTAAGCGATAAGCATGCTTTTAATCTGGTGTCGCCACGCGCCGCAGGTACGTTATGTGGAGAGCGTCATATACGTTGATCGACGATCTGCGAAGCATACGAATTATTATAATAAATACCTGGTACGGCATAGAGATTATCAGTATGATAAATATGGATACTTTAGTTTCTCATAAGGTATGATCAGTGATCAGTGAGACAAACAGTGATTAACCAAATGAACCAATCACGTGTATGTTCCTACATTTTTTTGCATGTCACTATTTCAGGACTGCTCAAGTATTTCTCTTTTAAACGTGTTAATATTGAATGATATTCATCACACATCATATCACAAACACATGAGCAATTTTATTTGTTCTGTAATTATTAAGATGATGTTAAATGACAGAACTAGCATTTGCTTGTACATTATATTTATTGATATGTAACAAAAAAATTACTATCTAGCCTATCTAGCCATAGAAATTAGGGTAATAATTGAATAACTTTTTTATCGATCAAAGAAATTTATGCAGAGGTAAATTGATAATCCGCTCGTATCGGAAACTTTAGAGTAATTATATAACATTAAATAAATTAAAAAAAATATGAGTTTGTTTAAAAAGGGAAAATTTACTAATCAAAAAAATTATATTCTAATAATTTATTTTCTTATTTTCCTGGGAATGTTTTTTTTTTTTGTTGTGCAGCTGAAATGTTTGCTTTTCTATATGCATGTAAGTCTTTATGTATGCGTAGTGAGAATGAAAGATAATTGACGAGCGAATCATAAACTTTTTTTTTATCAACATTTAACGGATATTTATCCGTAAATCTTGATGAGCAAGGGGTTTAAATATTGAGAATTGAAGCATATAATTGCACAAATCAAAGCATGAAGAGAAAGAAATTTATCAAGGAAATCATTTTCAGGTATAATTTTTATAATTTTGAGTGCTTGAATTGTTTGTTTGTTCTATTGTAAAAAAAAATTTTTTTTATTATATATAAAAAAACCCTTTAAACACTTAATGACTTAATGTATGACGTGCAGATATCTTTAATTTATTTT